ACGTGGCGTACGCCGGCTCGCTGCCCCCGCTCCTGAAGGCCGTCAAGGCCGGGATCCCGCTCGGCTGCTACCTGGCGCTGGCCATGACTGCGCTGGGACACAGGCGAGTGCTTCTCCTCGGGGCCGCCTTGCTGAGCGTCCTGCCTAAGGGTGAACTGGGGCCTGCTGAGGTTCCCGTGCGGATTTGTAGAGAACTAGTCGTCAGGGACAGTGGTTTTGAACAACAAGATATTTCATCTGTTTTGCTAGTGCTGATTTTGCTCTTTTGCATGTGCAAGTATGACTGTGATTAGAAATAATATATATACACACGCACATATATATATACACACGCACGTATATGTATATATACACACAATATATATATACATCTGTGTCTATACATATATAGATATGTACCCCACCCCCAAGCACACACACTAGTTAAGCCAGAACCTTGACCTTTAAATGATTGAATCCCTGGGTGAAGACCCACTTTTCGTCATTACCCTTTGGTCATTACCCTCATCTCCAGTGTTTTTAGAAGAGAGGACATATATCCCCAAAAGAGTAGGAAGTACTCATCAGCTGATAGATTTGATGAAAGAAATCTGCAAATTTATATATTACGACTTCAAAGGTTATACGTAAAGATATGAATGTCGTTGTATCTGAGTTCACAATGAAACCTTAGTCCCTGTGCTTTTACTTGTTTATTTTGCTTTTGTTTTGACAGCATTGAGAAGTTCTGTGCTGAAGGGATCTCTCTTTTGGGTGTACTTGTCCAGTCCAGATACCTGAGAACAGTAGTCCATGTGCTGGATAAAATTTTACCCCTGTTTTACTCTTGCCAGTATTACCTCCTGAAGAATGAACAGTAAGTGTGATATATTCTTAATATGTTTATTGCTAACGAGCAGTGAAAGTTCATCTTAACTGTTAATGTATCGTGTTCCCTTCTGGGTTTTGCATCTAGTATGAATGTGATACAGATGACTGGAAAAACTTCTGGTTTGCAGAGTTACTTTTTGCCAGTGGCTGTGGTTGATGACACAGTTATGGAAAGCTGGGCTGCTGGCATCACGTGTACAGACAAGGCTGGTGACATTGTCCCTGTGTCACACAACTGGGCCCTGGACAGCTGCACTGGCAAGAGCAAGTCTGTAGATAAGCTAGAGAGATAAACGGGGACAGCACTGCGAGCCCTCCTGAGGGCTGGACCTCAACTGTCTGTCCTGGTAAATTAGTAATACAGTGCCCTGTTGTCCTTTTGGCTTGATCTACATTGCAGTCTCTTGGACAATTTTTGAGCTAGATTTTAGCGTTAAAGTGAGTCAGGAACCGCTCCCAAGTGGCAGCCTTGATGGGAGCATGTGCTTTTGGACTGTAGAAGAGCTCAAAGCAGATGCACTGATTGCTCTGTGCCGTTCGAGTTCAGTGCCACAAAATGGTCTGTGGCACATTTGACTTTCCATCTTGACGTCTCTGCTGTTCTGTTGATCATGCTGCAGCCTCAGAGTACTCACAGGATATGTCTTAAAACCTACTGCTGGAGCATCTGTTAGGGCCTACCAGATGTTCCTGGTCTTTTCCAGAAAGCTGGGAATTGGGTGTCCAGGTTGTCTAACACAGCACTACTGTTTGCTGTCTGAAAACTCGAGATATGTTGCTGTGCCCTTATGTAGGGCAACAGGTTTGTTTTGCAGCCACTGTTCAATTCTCATAGGTTTTGGGAATGCCCTACAGTTTTAAATACTTGTGTGATAGCTTGGGGTTATTTTGCTCATGTCAGAGTAGTTTTGAATGTGCCCATTCCTCTTTTTTCTTTTCCCCCTTCTTTTTTTTCTTCCTTTCCTTTCCTTTTTTTTTTTTTTTTTCCCCAAAGCAGGCAGTGCTGCAGCTATAATTTTCTATGCAAGGTAACATCAGTGTAAATAGACTCTTTTCTCTTGTAAATTTTCCTAACTTCTGTGCAAATATGCATGTTGTGGCTGTAAGACTTGATAAGCTGTCTTGACTTAAAAGTGCCTTGAATTGCGCATATTATGCCCGTAATGTGATCTAGTGGAGCAATTAATACTCTGCAGCATGATTGTGAAGCAGAACCCTGTATACTGAGGTCAACCAGAGCTGCTGAGCTGCGGTGCATACTCTGTAAGTTTGAGTTCTTTAGAAGCAGCTCTTCTGTGTGTTACATTGTAGGAGAAACTTTGTAAGTGACTATTTTGCATTTGTTGATGTCCCCAGGTTTTTATCATATATCCAGCTGTTCCTGCAGCTGGATAGTGGAGTTCCTCAAGGCGTGACCCAGCAGGTTACCCACAAGGTAACACAGCACTTGACAGGAGTGAACTATGGAGAAAACGTCAAGCTGCTCAGTAGTATGATGCAAGTAAGTTTCTTGAAAAACAGATATTTGAATATCAGATCAAAACGTTGTTAAAAAAAGACTGTGATACATAACACTACTTCCTTACTTGTGTTTGAGGATTGCAGTAGATATTACGATTTGAAATTTTGCTTCTGACCGTTGATTTATGGTTAAGTTATATATTACTGGCTTGAAAATAAAATACTATTGTTAGTGCAAACAAGTGAACTAAGACTTGCTAAAATTAGAGAGAGGTAAAGGCTGAAGACAAAGGCAGCTTCTCTGGGAAGTCCTCTTGCAGGAGCACTTCAGAAATAGATGTTGTTTAAGCCTGCAGGTTGCAGAGGTTTCTGTGTGTGGCCTATGTGTCTGTTTTTACTGATTTCATGAACTTCGCAGGTCTCAAGGCTGCAGCAGCTCTCTCAAACATGGGAGATGACAAATAATTTATGGCAATGCTCTTTTCATGGCCATGTGAAAATAATGTCCTTTTAAGGATAGGCCCCCAGCTTCATGTGAATTAGAGTTCTTCTGATGCTTTTCCTGGAGTTGCAAGCTCTTGGATAATTCTACCCTTGCATTTGGCAGACTCACATTTTTCTGAGCAACCAGCCGGACGGCGTGGGATCAGCAGCAGTGCTGGAGTTCTGGGCCGAGCTCCTCACCAGCCAGCAGCTGTGGCACAGGGACAGGGCAACGCTTTTCTTGCTGGATCACTTATGCAAAGCTGCTTTTCAGTACAGGCAAGAAGACACTGTGCAAAAGCTGCTCTACCAACAGCACAAGGTAAATGGGGGGGGTGTATTGGTGTGGCTGTTGAGGCAGTGCTCAGCTTGCATACTGTTCATTCTAATTTCTGATGTGCATGTATTTTCAAGAAGAGTAAGAAGAATAGTCATGATAATGAGTGATCGTGAGGTTATACTGCCCAGTTTGGTTTGGAATAGGGCAAGATTAACGGTTTAGCTAATACTTGAATAATTTAAATCTATTATTTAGACATTTAATTTAAAGGTGTTCTATCATAGTATTCTGCAGCCTATAGATCTTATATTCAGTACCAATTCAGTACTGAATATAAGTATTTAGTATACATAAGTATACATGTGTATATGTGTGTATAGTGTGTGTATATATTCAGTACTGACGTATTTAGAACATCCTCAGCAGAAAAAGCAGTGGCAAACTGTAAAACAGAACCTTTTCCTCAGCAACAAAGTAAATATAAGCAGGCATTTCAGAGATTTCTTTCCAAGCAAAGATTGTGAAGTAGCAACAGGATGCAGGAAGGAACCTGGTTTGAGGCATGAGGACATTTGTGTAAGTTGTAGATCATCATTGTCTCCTTGTAAAAAAAAAAAAAAACAATGTTTTTTATTTCCTTGCAGAATGCTCTAGGCTACCACTGTGACAAAGGTCTGCTGTCCTCACTCGTTAGCTGGATTGTGGCAGGCAATGTGACACCTTCCTTCATCGAGGGCAATGCAAATTCCTCTCAGGTGAGTGGTAAGATGGTGTTGCAGGAGCCCTCCTGGCATATGCAATATATGGATGTTATATACTTCCCTGCTGTAACATATCTCTGCAGGTGTTCCCTCTTCCTCCCTATCTCTGTTTGAGTTTTCCTGTGATCAAATCGTGATTTAGCCTAATTTTGCAACAGTATTGCACTAAGGGAAGATGAGTATTTTGCACTCCTCAAGCTTTAGCTTCATTCAAGTCCAGGAATTGATATAATAGAATTTATTAGTAAAAAATAATATTAAACCTACTTATTGAGGGGAAAAGAGGTAGAGACATACTCATCTACTAATCATTTTTTTTTTCTGATGAGTCTTTTGAATATTAAGTACTTTCTCTTCCTTGTATGTACCTCTTCAAGCAATACAAACAACCTCTCCAGTGTCCCGACTGGAGATGTATAGTACAAGTACGAAGGAGAAGACTTTATTACAGTGTTTGACTAGTTTAATTAATGTAGAACTCTGCATAATTCTGTGTATGGTTCTGTAAATCTTCTTTCCTCTATCTTGCACAAGTTTCAGAATACAAAAGAATACAGAAGGGAGTAGATGAGAGTAGGTACGGATGAAATTAGTCGTTTTATTTGTCTACACATGATATTGAAGAAAAAAAAAAAGGCTTTTCCAGCTTTGCAGTGGGGATCTGGAAAAGACCTTCTAGTTAGGAAAAGAGCAAAAATTCCCTTCCTCTGCCTGTTTTTTTGATCAATAATTTCTTTACTACTGTGTTGTACAGGTCTGGTTTTCATGGGTAGTATTAAATATGGAGTCAATATTTGAAGAAGACTCACAGCTTCGCAGAGTTGTGGAGGGGGAGTTGGTGATTAATGCTTTAACTCCTGATCAAGCTTTGAAGGTGAGAGAACTGTTTACCCTCCCCTTGTAGAAAACTACTTTTCTCACGGACTGTTTAGTTTTACCTCCTCTGTTTTTTCTTACTAGGTCAAAAGTATAACTACTTAAGGCCTTACCTCCTTGTTTTTTTCAGGAGAAAATATAGCTCAGGCAAGGTTTCCTTTGCATTTTTGAATAGTGCATTTAAATAGACTAATATGTAAATGTCTGGTCTTAATATATCATGATTTGCAGAAAACTTAATTCAGTAATTGGTACTTTTATGTGATACTTTTATATGATTTTTCATGGGTCGTCTGAACATCTTGCAATCTGCAGTGGGTTAATTTTTTATCACTGAGATGGGAAGTGCAGATAGTTTATCTCAACAGGCTGGAAAATGTCTCTTTATGTAAGAGAGTTTTTCAGATTATCTGAATTTCAGAAACATCTGAAATTTGGTTGCTTCTAGGTGTGTCTGAATTACCTTCCAAAACTTTCAGAACTGTTCCTTAAAAAGACATGGAGAGTCAGGTGTGTTTAAGCCATGTTTGCAGTGTTTCTTGCCCAAACTCAATGTCTCGAATGAAGCAAGTTGGGATGAAAGCCTTCTAGTCTAGAAGTGTAAATTTGGGGCTGTCCTTCATCCCACCTGCTGCAGTATCTTTTGATGAAGAGGATAAGCTGGAAACACTATGAAAACACATTTTCTTGGGCTTACATCTAGGCTGGCTCTCTTGAGCCCTTGGGAACTAGTCTGGGGACATCTGTCGCTTGGTTTGTGTATCTGTATTTCCATGGAAAACAGCCTTTTGCAGGGAAGCGCAGTGAGACACTCATTTGAAAATGTTGTTTTTGCAGAAAGCCCAGGCCCAGCTGAAGTTGCCCATCGTGCCTTCCCTCCAGAGGCTGATGATTTACCGCTGGGCTCACCAGGCCCTGGCTACTCCTGCTGATCACCCTCTCATGCCTCTAATCTGGCAGAAATTCTTCCTCCTTTACCTTCACCGGCCAGGACCACAGTACGGGTGAGTCCATTGCTCTAACAGAACAACAACAAGCACAAATATATTGTATTTTAAGTAAGATTAGTACATGCTTTGTGCCAAGGGCTCATCTGAAAGCAATGGGTGCTGGAAATTTCTTTAAAGCAAAGGTTGATTTATTTAGAGATGCCAATTTGATGCTTTTCTTGCTGTGCCTTTTTTTTTTTTTTTTTGTATATTTTAGGTTACCGGTAGATGGCTGCATTGGAAGAAGGTTTTTCCAGAGTGCAGCTCATTCTAACTTACTAAATGAAATGAAGCAGCGCTTGATAGAGGTAGCAGACTTCCACCATGCTGCCAGCAAAGCACTTAGGGTGGACAGCCCTGCAGATGGCAGTGACAGATCACCGGAGAAGGGAAGCAGCTCAGCAGATTACCTGACGTCCCCAGAACTGCACAAGGAACTTGTCAGGTAGAGAAAAAGTTTCCCACTCGGTCTCATTCAGTATAGTGACCTGGGCAATGACTCAAGCTTAATCTGAGAGGTGGGAGGTGTGAAGGGATGTGACTCTGAGCTAGATTTACTGCAGACACTTCCTGTGCATGTGAAGTCACGGTGTGTTATTCTTGATTATGGTCCTTAATGTTTTCTAAACAGCATCTTTACATTGTTGGTCTTTGAAGTGACACTTAGATGTTTCGGATGCCCCTGGATTAGTTCACTAAATTTTTGAATCGTGTCTTCTTAAAACATGATTTGTTGCCTTAACTTGAACACCCAGAATCACAATACTGTGTAATATATGCTCTGCACATGCAATTAAGGTTCCTATTGATTTTTATTTTTCTTGTGTTTTTTCCTTCCCAGGCTTTGTAATGTCTTTGTGTTGTGGTTAGAAGAAGAGAGCTTTCAGAAAGGAGACACATACATTCCCTCTTTACCGAAGCAGTACGATGCACATAGACTTGCCAAAATCATGCAGAATCAACAGGTGAAGTACTTGCAACACTGGCGATCTGAAACCCAAAATTCACTTCTCTTTGTAAAATCTCTCTTAAGGAGACTTGAGTGTCACAGGTTTTTAATATGCCTGTGGCACGTACAGTAGCTTTACAGCTCTAAATTATTCTTTGCTAAGCATCCTATGCTGTCCTGAACTGTCATACTTTATTTAAATCAGAATTCGCATGCAGGTTTCTTGCATTTTCTAGGGAGAATTCAGTCCTTATTCTGTACTGTGTTATATCTACATCTATGTGTATATATTTTTTATTTTCTCAGAGAGTTGTAGAGAATTATCTAGATTGGATCTTTAAGTAACAAAGGACAGGGAGCACAAATCTGCTCATGTTAGTTGTTTGTAAGAAGTCTGGATAGTTTTAAATTAGTGAGTGGGAAGTGATTATTACTCTGCTCGTTAAGCCTAAAATAGTTAAAAGGGCTTTGGGAGGGAGGCCTTGGAAGAGGCTCGTTTTGTGCCTCCCGAGTGTACTGCTGCTTTGCTCTTGGTCCCGCAGAATATGTGAGTACTGAAAATGCAGCCTGCTTCAGTCTGAATTGTAGTTACTCATTGTTAGAGAATCTGTTTTCTCTTTTTCTTTTCAAAAGAATTGAGTTTTAATTGTCTGTACTCTTCCTCTCTCTTCTTGTCTGCTCAAATTTACAGCATGTGTGTCTGTCAGACTTCTGTAATGGTCAATAATACTTTTCATGGCTTATCTGTGTATATGATCAGACTTATGCTTTTCTTCTGTGCTATAGATATTTTTTTTTCTCCTGGTAATGTATTACTATGACTTTAAAAACACATGCTCTAGTTTTGTTTAATTACTTAATACCCCAGCTACTGGGATGAGTTTGCAGTATGTGATAATGAACAAAATGGTCATAATTATTTGATTCTTTTGTGCTGTAGGATTTGTGGATGGAATATGTCAACATTGAACTCATCCATCATGAGTTTCAGGAAGCTCTAAACCTTTGGCTCCAGATTCAGCTGGAATCACATACGGCCTCCAGTACTTCTGCAGGGCAAACAGATTTCACCAACCCTGTATCAGGTGGGCGATAAGGAGAAAATAGAAACCTGTCTGGAAAGTGTTATTTCTGAGCCAGAAATCTTGGTTCCTGTAATAACATAGGAATGATATGAGTAATACTGTTAATACAGTTAGTGTTTTCTACTGATATATAGCTTTTGTGATGTTCTTGCTAAGATGCCCATGTAGGAGGCTGGATTTTTTTGGTGCAGAGTTCAGGAGTGGCTAGAGCTTAATGGGGGAGCTCCCTCAGGAGCAGAGTATGCTCCGGACTGGCTGAATTTTCCTTGCGATGTGGGAGAGGGAACTTGCAAGCAAAGAGCAACATTGCTGAAAAGAGCAATATTGTCTCTGTTTTGCTTTCTGGGTTGTTTTTGTCGTTTGTTCTCTGTTTTTGCTGATGGTGTCTTTCCTTGCTGCACTGTGGCATTATAGTACAGTGAAAGGATTGTTCAAGCATCAAAAGGGATTAGAGTCATGGTAGGTTTATTAAGGATAAGGCAAGACTGGATTTTTTGGGGGGCTGATTGAAGGAGGGGAAGAAGGGAAGAGAAGGAAACTGGAACAGGATTGTAGATCAACTGGCATTTGAGCAAGGAAACCGGATGGGAACAGCAGAAGGAAAGAACTGTCCCAGAAAGAGACTGTGCTTTGAGAAAAATAATTGGAGCTGGTTATGCTGGCCAAGTAGAAAATAGGAAGAGCAGAGAACAGAGGAAACCAGGAAAAGCAGTGGGGTCTGGGATCCTAATGCAGCTGCTCAGTGAAAGTGAGCTGGGTGAAATAAACCTGGTAAACACAGATTGATTAAGTGACTATAAAAAGTGAGGAATCCTGGAAGTATAAACGTTTGCCTATTGTTAAAAATATGCTTCATGGGGGAAAAAATGTAATTTTCTAAAATAATCTTGTACTTTCTTTTTTTTGTTTAGCCAAAGAGAGAATAATGAATAATTTGATGAAGTTTGATGTTCCCAAGCCCCCTCTGCCGCTCCAGCCTGTGAAAGCTCCTGTGCCAGTTATTTCCCCTGCCAGTCTGTTAAGTCAGAAAGAAGCAATCCAGCTTATGCGCACGGACCTGAACCTCTTGCAGCAACATGCCAAGTGAGACTTAGCTTTTTATCTTTTATTTATTTTTCTCCTGCACAGTTAGCATTTCTAGGTTTGTTCAGATGCAATTTCAAGCAGTCCTATTTGTGGTGTTACAGTAAGACTAGATTTCATTCTTGTTTCTTCCTTGGTTATCATGTCATTATTCCACTGTTTTAATCGACTGCACAAGTTGTATCCAATGACTGAAGTCACCTCCATCAGCTTGGGTCTAACATCTACAGTTTCTTTTTTTTGTTTGGAACGCTTCTTAAAGCAAAGCCCCTGCAGTAGCCTAGATTTTTCTTGCCAATGAAGCTAGTTTTAACCAACCTCATTAATGGTTGTCTGAGGCAATGGAATTCTCCAGAGAAAAATCTGAGTTCTGGTACTGCTGGCTTTGTGTATGGAAGAGTGCTTCGTTTTTAATGATCTTGCTATGGGAATCCAGCTGAAGTATCTTCAAAGTTTCAAGCAGAGCAAATGAATGTCTCTGAGCTAGTCTCACCCAGTGTAATTTGTTAGTAACAATATAAAAAAAAATCCCTGCAAAGACTAAAAGGGTTGTATCTGAATGCTTCCAGTAGCAATTTTGCAGTGAGCTTTTTTCTGTGTTGACTGAATCATCCCATTCAGTCTGTCTTTGTCTGATGGGAAAAAAAAAAAAAAAAGTATCTTCCACAGTAGGCAAACTGTTTAATTTCATGCCAGTTTGTAATAGAATAATTGAAACAAAAAATCTTATGCAAACATGAATGTAGTTGTGTGTTTCTTATGAAACTGTTTGGTATTACTTTGAAGTGCTGTTACTTTGAAGCTTAATTCAATTTCATTTAAAGATTTTTCCCAACTTGAGCAATAAACGTTTTTCAGGACTGCGGCCGTGTGGGAATCGCAGCACGTTGCCCTCAACAGCGAGATCCTGGACACGATTCCCAGGCTCTTCGTGAACCGGGAAGAGCAGATCACCCTCCACGTGGAGTGCTGGGGCAGCTTGAATAAAGGCTGCCAGGGAGCAGCTCATCTAACAGTCCAGGTTAGAGACGTGGCTTTGCCCCTTTTTTGGACCTAAATAATGATATTTAAATGATTGAGTAGTTACAAGAATGAATTTATTTGGTGTAGTGCTGCTATATACCCTCGAATACCTCCTATTTATTGCTCAAAAGGAGTAGCAGATCATCTGCTGAAGACTTAGTCCTTGCATAAGGCTTGTATTTCTCAGCTTAAATTGCTTCCTGATGTATGAACGTAGGAATATGTTCACTGGTGGGAATGTAAGTATTAAAGTGTTCGTAGGAGTGTTTGCATGTTGCTTAGTGTGTGAATTTCTTGATCCTCTCTCACTTTTAATCTCTATGAATTAAAAGTATTACTTAAGACATGGATCATATCGTCACATGATAATTAAATAGGAATGTGACCAAGAATGTGTGCTTGGGCAGTATGTACTAAATCTGATCAAAATTCTTAAGGAAAACAGTCTATGCTCAGAGCTGTTTGCCAGGCTTTGACTCATTATTGCGATTAGTTGCAGCATTGGAAGAATTTTAGCAGAAGTTGCTATTTTGAAATGAATACCTTTTCTCATTTAGTTTGAAGGGAAGCACAAAAACGAAGCAGTGAGCCAGCAGCTTCATGCTTTGCACAAAGAAGTGAGACAACTGCAAGCAGAAGCCACAAAGCCACCTTCTCTGGGTGTTGTGGAAGCAGCAGTACATGTGGAAAACTTTATAACGTAGGTTGTTCAGACACTGTTTTAGGCAGTGTTGTTTTATGCTTAGTTTTCTGTATATTGGAGTTAAAATGTGGAACTCGTTTGTATGCTTCTGGTAATGAATATCATCTTGGCTGCACAACAGAGTCTGGATCTGTGTGTTTGTAACAAGAACTTCTGAAGGAGCAACTCCACATAGTTTCAGAAGAGGTAACTCTGGTCATTCTGCCTAAACAGGGCATGTAGTACTGGCTTCTATCTCAGTTTATTGTACTGTGTTGTTAAATAGCCATTCTAACCCTGCCAATGCAAATGTTGTAATGTCAGGGGTACTATGTAAAACCTGAATAGCAAACTTGCACCATAGCACCCTCAGCCATGAGCTATAAACATTCTTAACTCCCATGTCTGTAGGCTTTATCCTTCACTAGTGAAGAAGGTAGTTCTGGAGTTAGGAACTGGTAGTGACTGGAGTTATGAACTGAAGCCATATCAGCAACTCTGTAAAAATTTTAAAATACTGCAGTGGAGGAAGTCTATATAATCTAACTTTTTGGGTGAATTGATACATTAGTCCAAGGCCTTGTCCTTCTTGAGGACTTTATCCCAGCTCCTAGTTGAAGTCAAGAAGATCAAGAAAAATGATGTTGGGAAACTCTTTTTTGATATCCCATAAGGCATACTCATCGGGTAAAACAGTAGTGTTATAAAACAACAACTATTTCTGCTTGTTCTTCTTTTCATAAATCTGAAAAATTCTGTCCGTGATCAAGGCCTTGGGATTTATATCTGTGGGATTCCATGTTTTCCATGTTGTTTTAATGCAATTTGTTCAGAATCAGGCTGCAGAGGGCTTGATTTGAGCTTAATAAACATTTAATTGGCAGAGCGAGAGTTAAGATTGATTCTGTTTTTGTTTTTTTTATAATTGAGTCTTTTATGTTAGCAAGTGAAATGGTATGTTCTTATGGTACAAGTATAGTGTAAGCACACAATATGTTATTTGAGGGAGCAATTGTTTTTTTGTTGGTTTGAACTATAGTATGAAATGTCTTTGATCACCTTCCAACTCTGTAGGGTTTGGGGGTGTCACTTAAGGTAGTGAAATTAAGATAAACTCTACTTGATTAACATTCAAGCTAGAAATAATCATTTTAATAGCTATAAACTGAGAAGAAATTCCTTTTTTTCTTATTGTAGATTGATATCCATACTTGAGTTTAATCTGCCCCCCCCCTTTTTTTTTTTAACAGGGCCTTAATAAATATCTACAAGGTGCAGCCCCTGCCTGCAATTCAGAAAGTGGGAATTAGCTTGTTTTTTACATTAGTGGAGTATGTGTGTGATGAAACTCAGCGCAACCCTCCCACGAGGCAGTTTTTCTCTTCCTGCATTGAGATTCTTGGCCAAGTGAGTTTATTTTCTCTCTAGTTTTGCATGCCTAACACTAACACAAATAGACATTCCATACCAGCAGGCTAAAACCTTCAGAAGGTAGAAAATTCACTTCTGAGCTTCTACTCCATTCTTATCTCAGCTAACTGTATAACATATGTAGCTTGTGCAACAACTGCAACCTTTAATTCTTCTATGAGTGCTCTGGAGAAAAAATAAAATAGTCCCTGCTTTGTGTCCAAGTTGTTGCTTTGATGTCTTAGTTGCTATTTGTTTCCATGTGCAACCGTCCTTATTTACCTGTTAGGGCTGAGCTGCAGAAGAGCACAGTCATAGTTGTGTTGGCATTTTTTTTTTTTTTTTTTTTTTTTTTTTTTACTGAAGTCAGACAGAGCTGCTGAAATAGGGATTCCTTTTCTTAGCCCATGAGGAAAGAAAAGGCTCTCTGGCTAATTTTGTACTCCCTGTGTGGCTACAGGTGCTGTTCATGAGTGTGCTAGGTGAATGCATTTATTTTACATATAGATTTTGTGGAATAGAAGTATTTAGTTGAAACTAATGATGTAGTAAGGATGTAATGATCTTTGTTTTAGAGAAAGTTGTTTTTTTGGGGAAAAAAATGTTCTGACAGAAATCTTTTAGAGATGGTTTTCGAGTAAATTAATTCTGGGTTATTTTTCTCTCCACTGCTGCTTCCTCAGGTGTTTATCAGTGGGACCAAATCGGAGTGCAAGCACCTCCTCCGGACAATCCTGCAGAATCGTAGGCTCTGTACTCTCCTCTCTCCTTACTTCACTCCTGTTGCCTCTCCCAGTGAGTTTGTGACTTTGTATGAGAAAGTTGTGACCTTCCTGAGTGAGGATAACAGTGACGTTGTCTTCATGCTGCTGACAAAGGTAAAACGCTCATGAATGGTCTCTATTTTGCTACTTTTGCTGCTCTGAGTGAGATATGTCTGAGGAAAACCATGACTTCATACTAGGAAGAAATATCTACAGAACTAGTCTTCTAAAGTACCAGAGAGACTAGAGTCTGCAAAGGCCTTGCCTTAGAGCCTCAGTTTATGGTCTATACAGATTAGTCCAGCTTGCAAGTGTTAAGATTTGGAAGTGATACTAAAATGAGCAAATCTACCTGCGTTTTCTGAATTGGAGACCAGGTAAAGAGCTGTTTCATGGAAACAGGAACTTATGTAAATAGGCTGCAAATATATGCCAAATGTCCATTTTGAGAGTTACCTTGATTTTGAGCTAGAGAAATGCAAATATATATCGTTAGTACAGATCTCATATTAAAGGAATTCTTTCCCCCTAACTATTTCTTCCCCTCTGTCTTCCTTAAGAGTTTGTGACTATTATTTGAAATGCTAAAGCTTTTGACTTATAAATGCTCGCTGTCCTTTGTTCTAGTTTGACCTTACGCTGTGGTTAAGTGTTACCAGGCCACCTTTATCTGAACGTACCAGGCTCCTGGAATCCATTCACTTGGCTCTCAGTGCATGTGGCCTTGAACCCGAAGAAGATATTTTAATGCCTTTTAATATCTTCTGCAAGCATTGGACTAACCTTCTCCAATATCAGTTCCCTGATCACTATAATGACTTCTTAAGATTGTTCATGCAAAGTAAGTATCTGAATCAATGTGTTCATTGATGTCATTGTTTTTTTTCACTTTTTTCATTTTTCTTTTCAATTTTTTCATTGTTAATCAACTTTTTCATACAGATATTGCATTCATATTTTAGACCAGAAAAGTAGGACAACAACAAACACAGAATAATTTGCTTCCCCTTCCTCCCTGCCCTCTTAAGTTTCTTTATGTAATTTTGTGTACCTGCTATACAATACATTTTTATTAGGCATAATTTAACTTTACTAGAAAGCGTCATTTTTTTCACGGACTGATGTACATGCATGGGTGATAAGTTTTTCAGCCCATGTTACAGGAGAAGGACGAAGAAGAGCTTTCTGTTAATGGAAGCAATTGATAATTATGCCACCATCTGCAATACTGTATCCCTGTTCTTGAGCAAGTTTCACTGTCAAATCAGGAGTTATGAAGACCTGGGACTGATACTGAAGTCTGCTGTGCACAATCTGTTGGACATTAGGTTCTACCTATAAGCTGCTGTGCCTCTAGAATGGGGACATGGTGCTTCCTTTCTGCCAAACTATGTGATGAGCAGCAACTATCTCTTAGTGTGCTTTTGTAGCCAGGGATGTAATAAGTGCTTTGGAAACTCTCCAAGGAGGGGTTATCTGTCATTCCTTTTCTTGCATCTACATTACCTGTGTTTGGGAATGAAGAGTCTCTTGCTTTTAAACTTGGGATTTGCAAGCTATTTTCTTACCTTTTTTAAAAAAAAAAATATATATATATATATATATTTAGTTGATAGCTCCTATTTCAGGCTTCTCTAACTTATATCGCAGAAAGAATTAATATCGTTATCGTGTCTTCCATAAGAACATGATTTTCTCTTTCTTCTAAGGTTCTTCAGAGCAGCTTCTGAGCCCGGACTGCTGGAAGGCGTCGCTGGAGGCTCTGGGCTGTGGCTCCTCGGGGACTGAGCAGGGAAATGTCAAGAGGAGCGATTCTAGCAGGAGCCCAGTCTTGCACGAGGCCGCGGGAGCTCTGCTCTCTGCAGAGCAGGTGACCCCTTCTCTGCTTGATTAACTACATTTTGCAGCCAACAAGAATACCCTCTGGGGACAAATAATGCTGCCGTGCAGGCTTTCTGTAGCTGATGAATAACTTTTTGCATTTCACAGATCAGAGAGACAATAGAATGGCTTTCTGCCTCTTTCTGCAAACTCCGTCTGGCTTCAGTGGACTTCAGGACCTTCGGCCTGTTTTCCAAGTGGAGTCCTTACGTGGCTGAAGTGAACACGTTTCTCAAGTATCTTGCTAAACGTCTCATTGACGACGAAGTTGTCAGTTTAGCCCACGAGCCTATTGGCAGTAACAGAATTCTAGCAGGTAACGTGCCTTAAAAGCTAATGAATTTAAGAAATAAACTCAATGCTGTTTCTAATTTCTTCTGCTGAAAATAGTTTCATTTAAATATACAATAAAACCTTAACTGAGAGGGTCTCTGCAAGGATGTCAGTGACTGCTGAGTTTTGCCCTGGTTTGATGTTTGATTTGGAGTAAATAGCTAAACTCTTTTCTTTTAGTATATGCAGCCTTAATACATCCAAAGTTGGAAGGATGTGTTTAAGTGAACAATACAAAATGCTCATTATTATTTACTATCTAAAGTTAAACCAGTTGTTCTATAAAATTAAATTAATAGCAATCATGTTATTTTATTTTTTAAAAATATGCAGAACATATTTTAAAAATGCAGAACCTTGTAGAACTTACTTAACGTTTGAATAAGCAAAGGTCATTTTATATGTTTGGAAAAGCCTGATTTGGACACTCTTGTTAATTTTGTGCCTTGTTTTCTTCTAGCATTGCAGTCCTTGTATTCGGTCATTGTTGGACTCTTTAAGCCATGGATACTGGTGTTAGATAAGGAAGATGCAAGGTATATACTGATGCATTTAAAATTTATTTTATTTTATTTTTTTGCTGAAGTAAGAACTTTAGCCCTGTAGAAATGACTTTCCTTGTCACCTGATTTTTTTCCAGCCCATAATTGTGTGGTAACTTTTAATGTAAACAGCTGTTACTTGTGTCATATCCTTAATTGTTATGCAACTAAACCATGTTAAGTCATGTGTAGCGTTATCCATGTCTTCCATACAGATGAGTCTGTACTGTAAAACAAACAAACATTTTCCCTAGGCTCCCAAGTCCAACCTCCAATGCCAGTAGTGTGTAACGAGACGTCTGATCAAATTGGTCCCATGATAGTCTACTGGCAGTTGTCTTCTGTACCTCTCATTTCACAAGAAGAGTTACGAGTTATTTCTCCTGTTTTACACTTAAATTAAACCTTCTTTCAAAGCGGAATGCCGTCTGAGCATCTGCAGCACTTAATTAGAAGGGTCACTGCTGGTGATATGTGCTGGTGACATTCAGAAAGTCCTGCATTTTGGACTGTAATTCAATTATGAAATATCAAACAAGCAATCTCTGCTTACTCATTGATACTGAAGACCTTCACTGTGACATTGAAGTATCCTATTTTATAAAAGAAAGTGATAGTCCTAAAGAGCTGAGTTTGAAAAGATTGCTGATAACCCCTTCTGTATTCAGCCTACTATGTTTTACAGTATTTAAACTATCTAAGCATTTTTGGTGATAAGTCAGAAGTCTGAAATAAGTCTGAAATTTGTATTACTTCACTTCCTCTGTCTTTTCAAGTAACCAGCCCTGCTACCCTTGGTTAGAGAGTGACAGTGCTGTGGCTTCCTGCATGGTCTGCTCGTTTACAGACTGTGTCAAGCTTTTGCACGAGAGCTTTAAAGGTGAGTGAAGTCCGCGTTGTTTCAGTTTAGTAGCACTTCCTGTTTTATCTGAAAACACGCGTTTTGAGATTAGGGACAAGAGGGATTTCTTCCATTTGTTACGAATTTTTAGCTGAGATGAGGACTGCAGTGGTACCAACAGCATATTTCTTAGCCTTAAAAAAAAAACTGTGTTTTTGGCATGAGCAGAGAAAGTGGCTGATAGAGGATATCAGGTGGTAAAGTTCATACGAAGAAAAGCAAAGCAAAAGGAGCTCTGGTGAGAAGTGCATGACTGTTTCACATGTTAGAGCCCATAGGACGTATGCTGTGGTACGTAACAGTGACCCATGCATGGGTCTCAACAGCTAGGCTGGGGAAGTAACTTAACCTCTAGGTTCAGCAAGTTTGAGCTTGTATTTAAGACTGTGTATTGTCTAGTGCATAGCTGGGCACAGGAGTGGAAAATGCCCCCCAGTTCAATTCACAGATACTGCTTAACAGCCAACAAGTTCTGAGGTTGGATGGGATTCAAATTCATGTTGTAGAAATAAATAAATATCCCCATGCAACATAGCATCGTCTGAAATTCAAGATTCACTAATTCTTTTTAAAGCAAATATAAAAGTTGTGAAAGCTACTAGAAAGGAATGCTCATGTACTTTGTAACTTGCAGTTACAGACTGGGCTTTTTCCTGTAATTAAGCTTCTCTGCAATTTTCTCCGGTGGTAATTGCACTTTTTCCTTTTAATGCAGACAAGCTGTTACGAGGCCATCATGGGGCTCTCTGGTTGCATCTAATGCATTACTGTGAAAGTTGCACAGCCCCCAAAATGCCAGAGTTTATTCTGTATCACTTGCATACCGAATTCAAAAAGCTTCCATGGAAGGAAATGCATCCAGACCGGATGCTTATGGAAGAGTTCTTTAAAGTGAGTACCTAGAATATGTTTAATTAAGCTCATAGTTTTTGTAGTAATGGAGGGCTGTAGACAGTTCTTTAACCAGTAAGCTTTTAAAGTTTATTGCACAGTTCAAGCTCATTTTGTGAAGAAGTGTTACTGGGTCTTATTCAAAGTTGTGGGGAGCTGTAAGGCAGACCTTGTAGTCTGTCATTGCTGTGACCAAATGTCTCATTGTATGTATTAAATATATCTGTAGTTAGAGTTCATACTTCATTATTCTCATAACACTCTATAAGGTAGACAAATGCTGTAACGGATTGAGAACTGAGGCTGAGAAGTCTCAATTGATGCAGTGAATGAATTTTTAGGGCACTGATTATTACATTAAAATCAGAAAAATCATTAAAATCAGAAAAAGGAAATAAGTTGTTAGGAGCAAGTGTCTTATTGTGGATATGTGATGAAAAAGTGGCTTTTCCCAAGACCTAAAGAAATATTTGGTGACAAAGTTGAATTTAAGTTGTCTAGGGTCTAACTTCCATTTACTGAAATGGTTCATTATTAAAACACAGGAAGTTCCGCCTCCA